TGAAAATTATTTTAGGATTATTATTTTAATTTTTATGAATCCTGAATATTTTATTTATAATTTTTGGATTTATAAAATTAAAGATATTGATTTTACAATGATTTAAATATTCAAATAATATTTTAAAATATTTTTATTAATTTTAAATATATAAAAATATCATGGGGGCTCATTGTGCATATGGGCCTACTATATTTCTAAAAGATGGGGCCCATGAGTGCCTCCCTTACGTGTGACGCCCCACCCTTATTCTCTTTCCTATTTTTTGGTGATATGGCATAACCAAAAAAAAAACCTATGCATAAAAGGGCCCAATTATGCGCTTTTGAGGAGTTTATTTATGCATGCATGGACCATGGGGTTCGTAACAATATTAAAAAAAACTCCAATAAATACAAATATATAAAATTTAATATTTTACTCCATATTATTGTCATTAACATAATTATTATTTTTCTTCATATTGTTTATTAGGAAATTAATTTTCCTTTTTGTATAGGATTTAATAATTAATGGGTCTAAAATCTCATAAAGCCCAACATATAAAACCGGAGACAATGCTAGAACAAGCAAGGGAAAGCCAAAGAAGAAAAGGGAAAATCAATGAAGCGTATTGAAGCATAGCAACTATTGCAAGGTTTTGAATTTACATTTGCAACTCTTCAACCTTTCTTCATTCGTACCTCAATTTCAGTGGTACGAGATATAAATGTGGCTGCATTGCTCCACTGGCTCAGGTGGACCACCTCACCGCATAGACGACCCAACTTGTCTAAACCAGATCTCTCTCTCACGCACACATTTTGTTCTCTACATATCTTTCATGTATGGTGCAGTTGGCGTACGGATGCACCCGTAGCTGTAGAGGTAAGGTGCACGTTCAAATTTTATCATGGTATATAATTTTGATGTAAAATGTTTTTAGGATTATATCCAAATCTATTTTTATATCTAATTATAAAATTTTAAATTTTAAAAATGGTTAAAATCAAATAGATCTATAAACATATGAAAATCTTGAAAATGGATGGTGTAGATAATATGTTATAAAATGCACTATTTATGAGACTTAAAATCATTTTATTTTTCATGGACATACATCTCGAAGTCGAGATGATCAATCAAAGGGTTTTTCAACATTAAAACTACCTTTCCTGATGGATTTTTGAGGTGCATCCGTAATTCTACATTATAAGGTTGCATCCTTATATAAACTTTTTCCTTCATGTATTCCTCTTTCCTAAACTATCTTTCACCCCATCTTTTTTTAATTATCTTTCGTAAAGTAAGTTGTCTAAACCAGATCTCTCTCTCTCATTTAGCTTCTTATTTTTTGGCTTTTCGATTTTTTAAAAAGAAAAATCTTTTTATTTTTTATTTTTAACTTCTATATCTCATGAGATTCAAGAATTGAAATTTTTTATTTTTAACTTCTATATCTCATGAGATCCAAAAATTGAAAATATTATTTATAAACAAAAAGTTTCTATCTTTTCTATTTTACAACCCCATAAATTCATTTGACCATGTATTATTGACCTCAACAAAAATTTCTTATTTTTAACTTCTGTATCTCATGAGATCCAAAAATTAAAAATATTATTTATAAGTAAAAAGTTTCCAACTTTTCTATTTTACAACCCCATAAATTCATTTGACCATGCATTATTGACCTCAACAACTTATAAAATGACTCCCTTATTTCAAAATAAAATGACTCTACCTTCAAAATCAAACTCCATACGCCATCTCTCATTCTCTGAACTCTCTCCCCCTCTGTCTCTCTAAACGTCGACACGAGTCCCTACGTTTATGGTTTTGGACGGGATTTGAAGTGGCAGGGAACCTTGAATCTGCGTCTGAAATTCTAGGGTTTTGCATGGGTTTAACCGTTTCAGGAGCACCAGGTTCGAGTTTCTAAGTTTGGTTAGGGGCAGGGCTTTCAGTCGAAGCTCGATTGTTGATGCTTAAATCTTTGTTTCTCTGGTTCTTAGGGGAGGAGGTAGTGGCCCTCAATGGGGAACTGTTGCCGCTCTCCTGCTACAGCTGCAAGAGAAGACGTGAAATCAAATTACTCTGTCCATGATCAAAGCAAGAAAGAAGGAAACAACAACAAAAAGTTAATTGTTCTTAGTGGTAGCATAAAGGGGGGGATCGATGAGAAATATGTGGTCGATAGAGGAGAATTTGGGGTCACTTATATGTGTTACAAAAACAATTATGGAAGTTGTTCGGGTAAGGCCTTGCTTTTTTCTTTTACTTCATGTTCTCAAAGCAATGAAATTGAAGGCCCCTTTTGCCCCTTTCTCTTTCTTTCTCTTCATATATTCAAGGCAATGAAATTGAAGGAATTCAGAGGATCTACAAGGAAAGTGGATCTCCTTGCACAGTCTGCGAGAAATGTCCAATTTCTCGATTAGTAGTGAGAGAGAGAATGAAATTTCGATCTTGTTCTTTTGTTCAATTTCTGCGGATCAAACCAAAAAATTCAATCCCGCTCTTTTTGTTCTTCTCTATGTGAGAGAGAAAACTTTCAATCATGTTATTTGAATGCTTGTCCTTACTGCCCATGAATGGAGAGAGAGACGGGGCAGAGAGACCGAGTTTAGAGAGAGAGAGAGGAGCAAGAGAGATGGAATTTAGATAGAGAGGGAGGGACTGAGTTTAGAGAGAGAAGGGCAAGAGAGGAGAGAGAGGGAGAGACTGAGTTCAGAAAGGGGGTGAGCGATGGAGTTTAGAGAGAGAGGGAGAAACTGAGTTTAGAGAGAGAGGGAGAAACTGAGTTTAGAGAGAGAGGGCATACGTGGTTAGGTTTTGACGGAAGAGAGATATTTCATAAGTTGTTGAGGTCAATAATACATGGTCAAATGAGTTTAGAGGTTTGTAAGATAGAAAAGATGAAGACTTTTTGCTTACAAGTAATATTTTCAATTTTTGGATCTCATGAGATATAAAAGTTAAAAATAGGAGATAAAAGAATATTGTCCCTTTTTAAAATTATTTTTCTCAATTCTATCTGTCTCACTAAATATCTTATATTTCCTTAATATTTTTTTATTTAGTTCTCTTTCCCATTATATGCACCCATTAATTGTAGTAGTTCAAACTCTCCCTCTCTCTCATCCACGTCTCTCTCATTTATTCTCTCTTGTTTCTCTCCATGTCTCTACAAATTTCCCTGTATATCTCTCTCACCTCGTTTACCCCTTAAATTTAGGACTCTCATGTGCACTTCTCTGTTTCTCCACATATCCCATATCTCTCTCCTCTCTCAGCTCCCCTAAAATCTCCCAATCTCAAAAAATAAAATTTTTTATTTTCAGGAGTTTTCCTCTCTATATATCTAGGTCCACCTTTTTTAAGAGTTTACTTATACACATTCTAAGGTGGGCCCCTTAGAATTTCCAAAGATTTATAGTCTTTTGATTTTTGAGGTACTGGCCCCTTGTTTGGAAGCGTAATGGGAGACTTTAGGGTTTTAGCCCCTTATTTGGAAGATGATCTCTTCTCCTTGATCTGGATCACATCAATTTCTAACATGTCGTCCTCATCATATTGATCCTACTTGAGTGGGTCGTTAAGGTTTTGGGGTGAAGAGCTTCCTTTCAGCACTTGTTCAATTGCCCCCTCATGAGTTGTTGTCCAAAAATTAAGGTTTTTCTTGTCGTCATGAGCTTGGGAATCCATAGCTTCAAAACCTTGGTTGAGTTTATGCTCGAGTTCATATTGCTCTTGTGAGTTTGATTCGTTGCCATACACATATGAACCATTTGTTGTGTTAACTTGGAAGTATGGGTTGAAGGGTTCATATGCCCTAGTGTCGCTCTTGACGATGGAGATTTCTTGGGTCACTTTTGGGAGTGTATCTTAGATTGGAATCCTATATGCGATACCCATTTCTTCTCCCCTATCTTTGGTTATTGGCTTGGAGCTAAGATCATCCTCATTGCTTTGATCTTGAGTATCTTTAGTCATTAACTCATGGTTGAGGCTATGCTCATTTTGTTCTTCATCTACTGGACTTTTCAATTGGTTGTGCTCTAAGGCCTTTGTAGATGTTCTTCGGGTTTGGGCATAGGTTGTAATTCTTCTGAGTTAATCAGGTTGACACCAACATTCTTTATCGAGACATTTAGAGTTTCTGATTCTCCATTGTTGTCAACATCTTCATTTTTTGACATTTATCATGCCGTTATCGATGAGATCTTGAACTATATTTCTGAAAGCTCGACATTCCTCAGTGTTATGGGTACAGTTTTGATGTCAATCGCACCATTGAGATGTATCACCTCCATGGAAAGGAGGAATATTGGCTGTTGTCGATAATTCTATGAGCTTTGTCTTAAGCAACTTCTTCATGACATCGATCATAAGCTCATCAATGGGCGTGAATTCCCTTGGTGTGAAAGTCTGCATTCTCCATGTGGTAGAATGAATTTTGGTCTTTTCTTGTGAATGGTTTGCAGAATGGTTGCTTTTCTTGATCATGTTCACCTCTCGTTCTTGAGAGGTGAACATGATCAAGAAAAGCAATCTTCCTTGACTCGCTCATATCGTGATATTCTTTCAAGCATAATATCAAATGAGTAAGGGATTGCCCCCATACTGAAGAAGTGACATATTTTGGATTCATGTCCTCTAATGCTATGCGTACCTTCGCGGCTTCAAGGAGTGGAGTTGCAATGACTCGCATAGCGGCCTCTCTGAATCTGGTTATAAACAGGGAAGAAGACTTGCCCAACTTCTATTTGATGAAAGTTAACTCACCAAGGGTGACGGGTCATGGCCTTCCTCCCCTATAGTGGGAAGAAAATTGCCTGAATATTTCGTCAGGAGTTGCTTGAGGGTTATCCTTCATGAATATTAGGTGCCACATCAAGCGTTCTTTTGATAAGCTATGCGAGAGCATGACCTTTAGTTGGTTAGGTCGGTCTCGCAGTGTGTGGACCATCAATAAGTAGACGTCGATGTGTGCCTCAGGATCCCCTTTCCTTGAAAATCTGTTTCTGAACTGTGGTATCACAATCCCCACTGGTAGATCTTTTAGGTGTCCTAGAACTTCTTGTACATAAGCTTTAGGAGTTGAAAAATCCCATATTCTCATTTTCTCTAAAGAGTCTTGGAGGTATTTTATATGAGTGAATTGAGTCGTCGTTGTAGCTGTGAGTTGGCTCGATTGTATGGTTTGTTGAACCTGATTTTGTGGTATGTGACTCATATGAACTGGCTGTTGGGCCCATGTAACGGGTTGCCCTAAGGACTGAGCTTGAGGAATGTGTTGAACTTGATATGTTGGTTGTCGGCTTGTAGACTCACCCGAGTTGCATTAGGTCAGAGTATGCTCATTACTCGGAGGTTATACAACTTGGCCTAATCACCACTTAACTGGGATAGACGATTCAAGTTGCTATGACGACTAGACCTTTGACCTTGATTGGATGATCTATCCCTAGGGTTTGGGTACTCTCTTGCCTCAGCACTGGACTGAAAGGGTGAAGGAATATCATAACTACTGTCAAAGGGAGTCTACCCTCTAGGTAGTCTTGGGATCGAGTGATGACTAGAACCAGACCCCTGGCCTGTAGTGGGTTGCATTGGCAGGCTAATAGCCCTAAGATTATCCTGGTTTGAGCTAAAATGTTGGGCTTGACGTATGGCTTGAGCTTTTGACCTGACTTTCTTAGATGGAGTGCGTTGGATGGTGTATCCTCTATTGAGTAGGTCTTAAAAGTAAGCATGCACCTTAGGATTGTCTTTATATCGAGTTAGGTCAAAATTCTGATCATTACCGGTGATGGGCTGCTTGGGGAGACTTTTCCCACTCACCCACTAACTGGCTGATTACCAAGGCTTGAATGTTGGGCTGCTAATTGACCATAGGGGTTCACACAGCTGAGATCGGCTGACTCAGAGATTTGTGTCGAGGCCTTATTCTTGTTGTGCCAACTAGATCTGAGGTTAACGCTTATGTCTTGGAGGATTACCCCCGACCTGATCCTTTGACTATTCAAGGTGTTACAAACCTTATCAACATGTTGGCTCGTGACTTCTAAATGGTGGCCTTGAAGGCGGCTTGAACGGCTAGGTTTGGTTCCATGTGCGTCGAGAGTCGGCTCACTAATACGAGTGCTATGAATAATTTGTGAGGGAGCATTGTGACGGTGCCTATCGGACTGATTAGGTTCTCTGGATCTAGACTGAGCTGGAGCCACGGGGTTGGGCCTTGCTCTGCTATGATCCTGGGTCATGATTCTTAGACTCAGTGAGATTTAGACTCAACGCCTCAGGGTAGACCTAGTCTGACTCTAGGGGCAAAACCCTAACTAAGATCTAGGCTAGGATTAGACTGGATGAAACCTGTTAAACTTGATGGGTTTTGGTTCAGACTCTGAACTAGGATAAGCCTAGTCTAACTCTAGAGCCAACTCTAAGCTTAGACCTATACTAGAACCTAGACTGAGATCTAGACCAGATGGGTACGAGTCTCGGTTCGGACCAAGAGTGGGACTAGGTTCAGACCTAGGTGTGAGTCTGGTTCGGACCAAGAGTGGGACTAGGTTCAGACCTGGATTGTGCCTAGGCTTGGACCTAAAGGGTTTTGAAGATTAGACTGGGTGTGAACCCAAACTGCATCAAGTTTGAGACAGGCACAAGCCCTAGGCTTGGACCAAAAGAGGGCCTAAGTTCGGACCTAGGTGTGAACCTGGTTCGGACTTGAGCTAGGCTGGGTATAAGCCTGAACTTGGACCCAGAGAGTTTTGATGATCAGACCAAGTATGGATCCGGACTGAATCAAAGATGAACTAGGAACGTGCCTTCAGCTCGGACCGAGGGGGGGTTCGGACCAAGGTGAAACCTGGTTCAGACCTGGGCTAAGCTAGGTACAAGCCTGGACTTGAACCTAGAGAGGTCACCTCGGACTAAAAGCGGGACCGGTCTGAGATCTAAGATTAACCAACAAAAATAAGCAAGCACATCACACGAAAACTTTTGACTTAGATTATAGGCAGGCTTGGCTTGAGAGTGGGTTTCTAACTATTGAAATGAGGCTAGGCTGATATAGGTCCCCACATAGGTCTTGGCCTCCTGTTATAAAATGTTCATCAGGTCCTACTATATGCAGAGTTGCTTTGAGGCAAAGGATTACGAAGGGGCTCTCACAGTTAAAGTTACGCGAATCCCAACCATCTCTACTCTCAAAGCTAGGTTTCCCTCACGCCGTTAACACAGATTTTGGGGGTTTTCGAAAATATTGTTGGGCAAGAGTGTGTAAAGAAGCACGCAAGCGAAAAAAAAGTAGTAAGCAAGCAGGCACATAATGCCAAAAAAATGTGAGCACTTAGCGTAAATCATGCCAAGTGAGGTGTACATCGGGTCAGGTTTTTGACTGACCAAAAGCATAGTTCAAATGTGGGGGTAAGCAACCCCTAAGAAGGTATACAGTAAATGAAAGTGGAACCAGGCACAACCTGTGCCTAGTTGAGCTCGGCCCGAGTCGAGGGTGACTCGATCAAGGCACAATTAGAGAGAGAGTGCACGTGACCCTGAAAGTTTTTTTTTTTTAACCCCCTTTTTTTTTTAATGAGGA